AACAACTACTGCAATCGATGAAAATTAACCAATAAGTTATCTATTCGTCAACCCAGAAAGCAGAGCAGATCCCAATATTAAATTAACATTCATATTAGTTTTTCAAGGAACCACGAGGTGTACACCAGAAAGACAAGCATTTAATGCAACAGTTCTTTTTCTTATATTTATATAAATTTCATTCTGTTTCAAAGCAACTGAAAAACACCCCTTTTAATGTTTCCCCTGCATAATTCAAAATTCCCATTTTCATAGTTATCTCAAGATAAAGATAAAAATAAAAATGACCCCACAAAATCAGACATAAAAGAATACAAACAAAAGCTATCATTTAATGAAATAAAAGAAAATCATCTTTCTCACCTTCTGTTTCTCTGCATCTATATAACCCTTGACACCAGGCACCATCCTTTTTTTTTCAAATGAAAAAACAAAAAGAAAACAAAAAAGACATCATGTGAAAATTATTAAAAAGATTCCCTTCCAGAAATTAACATACAATTGATTAATCTCTTACTTGATGGAGGTGATTAGAAACCCTAAAATGGTGGGTTTGAGACCATTATCGTGAACAAGAAGAAAAAATGATTGAAGAATTCGGGCAGTAAAAAGAGTGAGAAGAGGAGCAAGAAGCAAAGCTAGAGGCTCATAATTTGATAAAAAGGAATTAGCAAAAGCTCTAAAATCAATCAAAGAAGAAATAATACGATCCATCATCGTAGTTGTTCGTACTGATGAAGATGATGGATAGATAGTATTAAGAAGGCAATAGAACCACTGAGAAATGCGTGTAAGATTCAATAAAACGTCTGTCCTCCTTTTATTGAGAGGTTAAGACACGACACTGGTCATCAACTCAAGATAATTGGATAGATATCAGAATCTCCCTTTTTTTAAGGTGGAATTGCGTGCCCGATGAGTGTTTTGTGGAATGTCATTGTGTATTTGCTAGTATGATGCTAGGTTTAAAAAAAAATGTTTTTAAATTGAAGATTTATTAAAGTAATATTTTTTAATTTTTAATGTAAAAACGTCAAAATCATAAATAAAAAAACACATGAAAATATTAAGTAAAAAAAAGTTTGAAAAAGATTTTAAAAAAGAAATTCAAAAAATAAACACCCCTTAATCAATTTCTTGCCAGCTTCATTGATGTTACGTGCCTTACTTGTTACGTCACTGGTGATTGACTTCTTGTCACTTTAGTTTTGTCTTTCGACATAGTTGTTCCTTCTCCTAGAAATAAAAAATAAAATGAAGAAGAAAGAAAGAACGAGGAAGAAGAAGGCGGATACTTTGAATTTAATGTTGCATTTATTGTAAAATTAGATACGATGAACATGGGCAAACAATACCTGGAGACATCTACAGACACTATTTTTAAGAATATTTCTTTAATATAAAATTATCTTGTAAGATTCAATAAGTTTTTCCTCTGAAAATAAGGGTTAAAGAAAAACAACCAAGATAAAAAAGAAATATTAGCAAGTTTTATAAATATAAAAAACTAAATTATGATTTTTTAGTATATTTTAATAGTAAGAGTACATGATATTTATAAATTACTAATATATAACATCTAGTCAAAAAATAAATTAAAAATTAAAAAGTTATTACAACTGTTAAAAATATAAAAGAACCGTTGAGAAATTAAAGAATTATAATTGTTTAGAAAACTTTTAGAACAAAAAAGTTGTAGTTGTTATAACAATTAAAAAAATAAAAGAGCTACCGTAGGAATTAAAAGGTTGTAGTTGTTACAACAATTAAAAAAATAAAAAAGCTACTGGAGGAATTAAAAAGTTGTAATTGTTTATAAAAATTAAAATAAAAAAGTTATGACAATAGTTTAAAAAATAAAAGAGCCGCCATGTTAAAGAGCAGTAGTTATTTAGAAAATTTTTAAAATAAAAGGTGTTGTTAAGATTTTGTAACTATTATAAAATTAATTCTAAAAAAAACAAGATGTTTTACTATGTCTATGCTACTTTTAATTTAGAAAAATATTTTGGGTTTAACGTAACCACGAAACACTATAATTTTTAAATTCAGATATTTTAAGTTTGACATCATTTTCAAACTCATATTTGTCTTATATTAAGTTAATTGTCAAACACAAATTTTTTGGACGTGGCACGATCCAAAAAACTTGAATTTGACTATCATATCAGACCTAAAGAAATTCAGGCACGTTTACCTTGCTCGAATTTCTTTAGGTCTGATATGATAGTCAAATTCAAGTTTTTTGGATCTAGAATGCTTACCACACTCATATTTTTTTAAATTTGACATGATAGTTAAATTCAAGTATTTTGAATTTGTCATGTTTGCCATACTTATATTTTTTTTGAATTTGACATGATTATCAAACTCGAGGATCTTATATCTATTGAGGTCGCTAAATCAATATCAAGATTCACTAAATAAACATTAAATAAAAACTCTTTTGAGATAATCTTTATCATTTACAATAGTATCCGTATTCATTGTTCATTGTTCTTTTTTATTTTTTAAATTTTAATGATTTTTTTGGTAACTTGTATCATGAGACTTAGACAATCCAATAAAAAACAAATTATTGGTGAAGGACTCGTGACCTGAAATATGAGATTGAGATAACCTTTTAAAAAGCAACTCAACATAACTAGGGTTAAGATATCAAAATCCGCAATTTTTATCATTGAACTAAAATACATTCACATAAAATAAAATAAAATAAATTATAAAATTAAATTCTCAAAAGTCTTAATGTTTAATGAAAAACTATAAAAAAATCAATAAAAAAAATACAGGTTAGCTTAGGTTACTATGTTAAACACTATTCTCAAGTATTAAGATTGTGATAATTTAATATTAAAAAATAAAATAAATCATGAAATATAATTTTTAATTAATCTAATATTAAAAAATAAATAAAATAAATAAAAAAATCGAGTCAACTTGGTTAATTAGCTGAACTTGTGATGTATATTAAGAGTACAAGGTAAACTTATAAAAAATAAATTTAATTTTAAATGGTAATTTTTTTAAAAAAATATTAATTAAAAAAAACAAAACATTGATCAGTGCTTTTGTGACAAGGGAGCCAGTGGTGATCCATGGAACTATCCCTATCATGCCTTGAACACACGACGCTGAAAAGTGGAGCTGTCTCTTTTCATTTATCATTGCCGGGGGCAGAAATGCCATCAAGGTCTGCTTCCTGTCTAGCATGTGAAATCAATTTTCTTCTTCAATCATCAAAATCAAGTGTGACTTGAAAATATTAAAATTAAATCATAACAGGAAAAAATAAATTAAAGATCTCAATACAATCAAAGGATAGAAAACCAAGTCACCTGCTGACAATTTACAAACCCTCGTCGAGAAAAATATAGCCTTCTCGCCGCATCAACAGCTGATGTATGCCTCAGCACAAATCACAGCAGCAGCCAGATTCCCTCCGGTGGCCTTTTTCTGTTCAACTGTGTTGTATAAAATATTTGCATTTAAAAAAAAAAAACACTAATAAATATTGACAGAAGGATTTAGTTGAAAAATGTCTGGAATACCAGGAAGCAACAGCTAAAATTTTGTATAGGGACGAAATTGAACAAGATAGCAAGACAGGCAAGGGTCATCAGGTGTATCGAAACTTCTCTAACATAAATGTGAACTCTGTCATGAAATTATTTAAAGAACCCTCTTTCACGCGAGAGAAGAATAATACAACGCTAGGTGTTTTGAATAATTCATAATCACGATTAAATTGAAATTTTAAAATAGTAAGATTTCAATTTCTCTTGAAAAAAAAATAATTGAATGACATGGATGATTCATGGCTCACAATCAGGTATTTTAAATAGTTAATTGCTCATTTGAAAAATAAAATTAAAAACCATTGTTATAATCATAAAATTCATATTCTAAAGAACCTATTAGAAAGTTAAAAAACTCTAACTACTCACCGCTATAAAATTTGTTGTTTGCTCGGTGATATGCTTTAAAACGTGTATGAAAATTATTATGCTGAAACTATACTATGCTAGAAATATATATGTAATGTTTATATTATGGATCACACTATAAATATAAAATGTTTAAATTATATACCATGTCATAAAAATTTAGAGAATTATAAAGAGTATTATTTTTTTTATTTTCTATTCTAAAAACCATTAAAGCATGTTAAGTTAAGCATAACCATCAAATTTAAAGTTTTTAGATTTAGCATGGTAATCAAACTTATATTGCTTGAGTCATGCTAGAATTAAGTATTCTCTAAAACTTTAATATTTTTTTATATTTAAAAAAAATGATATTGATATGTTGCAGAATGTAAACTAATATATCAGTAGAATATAAAGCATGGTTGACTTTTTAAAATATTTTTCTGTTTAAAAAATATATATAAATAATATATTTTTAATATTAATATTAATACAGTAGAATAATCTAAAAACATTAAAACAAGTTAATTTTAAGCAAAATAAAATTAATTCAAAGTTTTAACAAATATTTTGACTGTAATCAACTCAACCTTAATGTGTAACGTGTAAAGGATAATTTAAATTTAATAGAATTTAATGAATTAATTCAGTTGTTTAAACTTTTTATTTAATCAACTTAATAAAATTTTATTTTGATTTTTTAAAATAAAAATTAGAACAATTTAAATCAATTCTGATTAACTTATAATCTTAAAACACGAGAAAAGTTTGTTTATTATGATTATATTCAGAGGCTAATAATATCTCACTTGAAAAATTAAATTAAATTTTTAATTAAATTTAGTTATTGAAAATAAATTTATTGTTGTTTTTTAATTTATTTAGTATTATGATAGTGATTATTTTTTAAATTTTTTTTATTTTTAAAAATTTATTTTTGATATTATTACATTAAAATAAAATAAAAATTATTAAAAAAAAACATTTTTAAAATGTAAAAAAGTTTGGCTGTACAAATTTTGAATCGGTGCCGCCCGAAAACCGAATTTAGTATAACCCTAACTCCTAAATAAACAGCACATGACGTGCACGTGTTTTTCTTTCTTCTTTCCTGCGCTGCCTCCCACTCCCCCGCTCTTTGCTCCCTGTCTGGCTCCAATTCTCTGTACCAAATTAACAAAAATCACAACTATACCCCAAGTATGAAGCCCACCTCAGCCACTAACCCATCCAAAGATCACCAGTCTCTATCTCGAGCAGCGGCACTCCACCTCGTCTTGAAAATTCCAAGGCAAGTTTCAAATTTTCTGTTTCCTTATTTGGACAGTACATGAATTAGAGTTTAATAATGATGTCTTTTTGATATTTTTTTTGGGTTTTATTTAATGATTTTCCAGAAAATTGAACTATCATTTTGATTTATTTGAGCTTTAATTGAATGCAATGCAATCCCTTTTTATGTCAATGAATTTCGCTCTTTGCTGCACAATTTCTGTTGCTGTTGCTCTTGAGCATGCCTTCTCGTATTCTGGGTGAGAATGATGTCTTAGCCATTAATCTTGACAGATTCAGTTATTATCTGGGGTTTTGAGTGTCATCGTGTTGGGTATTTAACAATTAGGTGGATGGCTTTTCAAGGAAAGCGAGTTCGGCTGAGCAGAATTTGTGTTCGGTTCAAATTGCTGAAATTGGAAATAAGCCCTTTGATTGAATTGGTTTCATAATGTTTTAGGTAAAGGGGCTTCTATCAAATCACTGGTTATCTGACTTTTATTTTTTGAATTTCTGTTGTTTTCAGTTTTGCATGACGGGTTGGCTCAGCTGTAGCTGTTTAGGCTCAAGTGAGATCAATATTCGTTACCCACATGGGTACCAAAACGGTGGGGAGGCAACAGCATGAGAAAAGGAAAACAAAGAATGAGGATGATTCCTTGAAAGCCAAAGATTCATTGCTTGTGAGTGGAGGGGAAGGTCTAACTCTGAATATGGAATGCAAGAAAAAGACGAAGAAGAAGAAGAGTGAGGGCCATGAGGATAGCATTGAGGATTCTGCAGCAAGTTCTAGACTAAGTGAGGGTAATGTTAATGCAGCAGGCAAGGGTGAGAAGAAGGAGAAGAAGAGTGAGAAATATGAGTTAGTAAGTTCTAGTCTAAGTGAGGGTAATGTAGACTTGAATAATGCTGCTGACAAGAAGGAGAAGAAGAGAAAGTTGGAGCGTGTTAATAATGAGAAAGAACCTCAGGTGTCCAAGAAGAAAAATAAGATGAGTGAAGTGAGAGAGGCTTTGGGGGAGACCCACATGAGAATGGATGATAATTTGGGATTGCAAAAGAATGTCCAGGTGGATTTTGTCAGCAATTCTGAGTCAGAAGTGAGAAGAGATAGGAAAAAAAATCACAAGGAGAAAAACAGAGAAGGTAAAGCTATCACTGTTTCTTCTGTGCTCAACAGCATTGATGATAACAGAAGGGGAGAGGTGTTTGAGGTACAGAAAGGCCCTGGGAATGAAGATATTGCTAACATGAATAACAGGGAAGGACAAGGCCGCAAGAAGGAAAAGAAGAGGAAACAGAATAAGTATGATGATGGCCGTGGTGATACTGAGATAGTTAATAGTGTAGCTGATGGAAAAGATGCTGGAAGAGAGGAGTCAATTGAAGTTGTTCAGGACAAGGTAGAGTCTTCAAAGAAGGAGAAGAAGAAAAAGAAGAAAAAACTCAATGTTGTTCTAGAGGCTGCATCAATGCAAATTATGGCTGAGACAACAGGTAACCAAAACAGTGTAATAGAAGGTGATGGAGGTAACAGAAGTTCGATTAAAAATAAGGCTAGAGATGGCAAACTAAAGGTCAATGCTGAAGGTGGAAACAAAAGGAAGAAGAAGGCCAAGTCCTTGGAAAATCGTTCAAAAGAAAAAAGTAGTGAAAGAGTAACAGAAATGGAGGAAGACGCTGAAAGCACTCGTCCATCTGAAAAATCTTTTAAAAAAGTGACATCTAAGAGAGTAAGTTTCTGTGAAGATGTCGAGATTTTCCCTTCATCTGATGGTCCTAGTGATAAGAAGGCTGTTGGGGAAGACGGCTTTGTGCGAGGGAAGCGGTTCTCACTTGAGGAGGATGAGATGGTTAAAGAAGCTGTTTTAAACTATATTAATGTTCATTGTTTAGGTGCAGACGGTCTAAACATGGTGCTGAATTGTAAAAAGCACCCTGCGATTAAACATTGCTGGAAGGAGATAGGGGCAGCCTTACACTGGAGGCCTCGTGAGAGTGTCTATTATCGAGCCCATATATTGTTTGAAAGGGACCAGAATTCTTCTTGGACCCCAGAAGAGTATGATCTCATCCGAAAGTTTCATGAAAAACATGGATCAGACTGGAAGACACTGGCAGAAGCCTTGGGCAAACATAGGTTTCATGTAAAGGATACGTGGCGCAGAATAAAATTGATCAATATGAAGAAAGGGAAATGGTCTCAAGATGAGTACCAGTCTTTATTTGATTCGGTGAACTTGGATCTGCGCTTGAAAGCTTTTGTTGAAAGGAAGACAAAGCATGGGATGTTACGAGATAATATTAGTTGGACTGCAATTAGTGAGAAGTTGGAAACTAGGACTGATGCTCTCTGCTGCCAAAAATGGTATGATCAATTAACGTCACCTATGGTAGCTGAAGGTAAATGGCTTGATACAGATGACTATCGGCTGCTGATGGAGCTCTACGACTTGGATGCTTGCTGCATGGAAGATGTCGACTGGGACAATCTTCTAGAGCACAGGTCTGGAGATCTGTGTCGGAAGCGATGGAACCAAATGGTCAAACACCTTGGTGACCATCGTAACAAGTCATTTGCTGATCAAGTTGATGTTGTCATTAACCGTTACTGTCCTGACGTTCTTGAAGCAAGAGAGGCCTACAATAGCAAACCTGCTGTTCCTTGAGGTTACAATCCTTTTGGGTGGTTTATTGCTCCTTTTCTTTATCCGAGTCTGAAGTGTTGGTGTCCCTGGTTAGGTTGGCATTGAAGTCTTTTCCCCAAGCAACTGAAATTTCTTAAATTACCTTTCCTTTTTCTGCATTGTAATTCATAGATCAATACTTTTTATTATTTTGCTTTCTAGACTGATGCTGTTCTCCACTGAAATATTTCTCCTTGTGCTCTTTTATTTTTTACCGTCTTCATATTTCTTCAGCCAAGAGAGGATATTGAGGAGGTGCCTGAATTTAATTTACCTCGTCATCAAAAGATGAAAAAATGATCTCAAATTTCAGTGAGGACCAAAGCTCGAGGTTCCTTTGGTTTTCATGGAGGAGATGAAGTTTCCTTGCCCATCTTTATTTGTGAATACAAACAAGCAGTGCCTCTCCAAATATTTCCATTGATGATGTAATTTATAGCTTGGATATGCTCCAATCTCTAACCCAAGTGTTAAAGTCAAGGGATGTATGGACAAGTGGGAGTGGCCTAGTAATAAAGACTCCTATCTTGGTATAACTGAGTCTGTTTCCCCCCTCCCTTGTTCCACCCAAAATTTAAAGAAAAAGAAAAGCGAAGTCGGAAAACTATTCTTGAATCAGTTTCTAAAATTGGTTCAAAAAAAAAAAACTGATTTCAATCTTATTTCAGGAAGAACACCAGTGCTCATCAAAATCATTTTCGTTTGCTTGTGGTTCAACCACTGTTAATTAATCTTCCTGTTAGATGGATGGAGCGTTATGATATTTGATTAAAGTTAAATATCATAAATGCGTTGAGAAATTTATGAATATTTTTTAAAAAAATATGCATGAAGGACGTTAGAAATTTTTTTTTATAATTATTATTAACTTGTACTTGGGAGGAAGAGGGGCACAGATGCCTACAGCTTCTTTTGACAAAGTTAAAAATAATTTGATAGATGGTAGGTCTCCCTCCCATTTAAAACAACAACAGGCAGACTTAACTGTTTGAATCTCCGACTCTTCCTCCCTGCCATTTCTTCCTCCGAGAAAAAACCAACCTTACCCTCCTCCCTAAATCCAGAGGCCTCTATTTCCCCTATTTTCCAAAAATCAACATCCCTCCCACTTCCTCTCTTCCTCTTCATGAAACCCACCTCCTACCAACCTTAATTTCCTCTACATTTTCTTAACAATCTTTATTTCCTCGTATGTGCTCTACCACATACATTACGATATTGTCAGTTAGTTACTTTTAACATCTTTGAATCTTGAACTGTTACATTTTTTTTCTTAACAAAGATATGAGTAGAGAGAAGTTTGATAAATTAAGACACGACCATTGTTGTTTTCTCTCTGTATCCATCTTTGTTGTTGCATTTGCTTTATCATTGAGCCCTGCTTATTGTCAAGATATCGATGGCTATGATGACAATCCAGCCACACAGGAGCTATTTTCAGAGCTGGTTTACAACAGTTTCTCAAATTTTACCTCCGTGTTCAAGCAAGATATTGTCAAATATTTTGGTTTCTGCATAACAGACGTGTAGATAACTCAGCCACTCTTTTGTATAAATGTAATGTTAGATTTCAGGAATGGAAGCTGATCATTAAAAGAAGGTAATTTTCTATTTTGATTTGGATTTGCAGGGATGAAGATTGGAATATGGCATTCAATTTCTCCAAAGGTACACAATTCATATCCAATTGCGCCAAGAAGACAAAAGGTACGCACAAAGTTTGGGGCCATGAAAACAAGGATTATTTGGTTAAGGTTCCAGACTGCTTTTTTTGTCTGTATTTTATATAGGTATCTTCCTTTTGGGGTTTAAATGAATGCTACACAACTTCATTAGCTCAATGGATATTTTGTTTGAATTCCCTTTACCTTATGGAAAACCAATTCACAAGCTGGAAAGAAAGAGGGATTTGAGTATTTGCTTAATCAGATGGAAGTATCTGAAGGCAATATAAAAAGCCTCTATGAAAAAAGCCATAGCAGTTTTTTTTTAGAAGAAGTCGATATAGAGAGCATAGAGCATAGAGCCATAGCAGTTCCCTCAACGAAAGAGGGTTGAGGCATAGAGCATAGAGCATGCCTGCTAATTTTCCTTTATTCAATTACAAAGCAAATTATGATGCCTAATTTAACAGATTAAAGTTTAAATTCTTGGTTTGCTATCTTACTCGGATCGATGTACATTGGTACTTGCCTTAGTTCATAAAGAAACAATATTATTGAAATACCTGCTACTCCCCTTAGTTTGTTAATCCAATTTCTTTCTGTAGTAATATGTTCCCGACATTGTTCATGTTATTTTGGTGCTTCAGGAGACATGCTAAGGCGTACATGCACAGCAGCAGAAATAAAGTTCTATTTCAACAGTCTCTTTGAAAAAGGAGCAAAGAAAAGCAATTATTTGAAACCTAACAAGAACTGTAATCTGAGTTCATGGGTTTCTGGGTGTGAGCCAGGATGGGCTTGTGGAGTTGGTAAAGGTGAGAAGGTTGACCTCAGAAATTCGAAGGACATGCCTTTTAGAACGACAAATTGTGCAGCTTGTTGTGAGGGTTTCTTCTGCCCTCATGGTATTACTTGCATGATACGTGAGTATTTGGAAACCCATCATCAACCATGGAAATAGTTGAGAATTGCATTTGTTATGTGCCCTTGGTATTTTTGCTGCATTCCTTGGGCTAATTACAAGTTTTTTATTTGCATAAGTAGATCTTCTCTTAATCTGCGTGCATTGGACTGGTGACCACTTCTTTTTTTCTCTGTATTTTCATTCTCAGTGAGTACCTCACATCAAGAATGATGAAACCATTCAAATTATAGCTTCGAATGTTATGTCAATATTCCTTAAAAAGAGTACGGGGATGTGGTTTGCACATCTCCACTCCAGAATCTAGATGAATCATAGGCCTTATATATCCTATGCAAGACTCTATTTTCCATCCGAATACTCATTTCAGCTCCCCCAATGTCCCATTTTTCTGAAGAGCAAAAACTGGCAAGAAATTAGTACGTTGGCAATAAGAAAGTATTAAAGTATTTTCACCTTTAATGGAGGAAAATTGATGAAATGAACTTTCCTACTCCTGAGTCTCTAATTGCAATTTTATAAACCTCTGCCAAGGAAAGGGAGCATGAAGAAACCACTTTTTTTTTCATATTTTGTCCATGCATTACCAGAAAATAGAAGATGATCCAATGGAAAAAAAAGTCTAGAAAGTATCTATTTATTTTTGAAGTGTAGAAAGTTATTTTCTCACTTTCCAAGCTTCCTCGATGATTATTTTTTCGCTTTTCCGTTCTAACCGAAGTGTTCATCCAGATATGTCTAGGAAAGTACTAGTATAAACTCTCGAGTCTGTATCAAGTCAATGGGTCTCCTTAGTATATACTGCTCCTGTTTCTAGGAGATGGACTTTTTGAAACATCTAGGAATTTGTCTGATGCATAATAGTGAGAAGTGATCACTGCCACTTAAAAATGTGTCCTTGGAAAACAACAACGATTGTATTAGAGTCCCACATATAAAAGGCATTCACCGTTTCTCCTGAATTTGATTCTATGTTGAATTGTTTTAACAATGTTTCTGGCTTTCATTTCTGAACTTTAAATTGTTGTTTACATTGATTTCTTTCTGGTAAGTTAGGTTGTTAATGGATTCATTGTTTGTGCATATGTTCCTAATTGAGCCACAACTAATATTCTTTATATGTTGGCATTTTGTGTCTGTCTCTGAAGCTTGCCCACTGGGTGCTCACTGTCCCCTTGCAAAACTGAACAAAACCACTGGCATATGCGACCCGTAAGTTCATTCGTGTTTTGTGCTTTTGTAGTTTTCAGGTTTTTTCTTCTTTATAGTACATACATTAATATTTATTAGCAGAAATGTTTTGCAGATATCATTACCAATTGCCTCCAGGAAAGCCAAACCATACTTGTGGTGGAGCGGATATTTGGGCTGATATTTTGAGTAGTAGCGAGATATTCTGTTCAGCAGGATCATACTGTCCGTCCACAATTCAAGAGATTCCATGCAGTCGTGGGTATTGTTAAATTATCCTTGAACTTCTAGCAGTAATCTATTAAATTGCATGTCTCACCTCTTCTTTAATTTGATGTTGGCATTTTTTCCTTCAAACATATCACAGCCATCTGTTTTGCTTTTCCCGTTACTAATTAAACTAAGTAGCTTTTTTCAGACATTACTGCAGGACTGGTTCAACGTCTCAAACAGGGTGTTTTAATCTGGCAACTTGTGAAACACAATCAACAAATCAGAATATCACTGCATATGGCATTTTATTTTTCGTAAGTCATCGATTCAACTTCCAACTTTCATGATAGTAATGGAACACTATTGGGCACTACATGTTCTGTTCGTGGGAAATATTGATGATATACTTTAAACTCGAAATATTCTCATGATCTAAGTTTGCATTATAGGTCATCTTTTGTGCACAACCATCAGATCTAATCACTTCACTTGTCAATGTAGGCTGGATTAAGCTTTCTGCTTATCATTATTTATAACTGTTCTGATCAAGTTCTTGCAACTCGAGAGAGAAGACAAGCAAAGACAAGGGAGAAGGCAGTTCAAAGTGTAAGAGAAACTGCTCAAGCTCGTGAAAAATGGAAATCTGCAAGAGACATTGCCAAGAAGGGTGCGATTGGATTACAAACCCAGCTGTCGCGCACATTTTCTCGTACAAAGTCTAAAAGGCCAGTAGAACAGCTAAAAGGTTTTGGTCAAGCTAAACCCGGATCGGATGCTGCTTTACCACCCATGCCGGGAGGCAGTTCATCTCAGCAATCATCTGGAAAAGGGAAGAAAAAGGGAAAGAGCAACCTCACACAGATGCTGGATGATATTGAGAACAACCCCGAGGGCCACGAAGGCTTTAATTTGGAAATTGGAGATAAAAATATCAGAAAAAATGCACCAAGGGGTAAGCAGTTGCATACTCAGAGTCAAATGTTCAGGTATGCATACGGACAAATCGAGAGGGAGAAAGCTATGCAGGAACAGAACAAGAATTTGACCTTCTCTGGGGTAATTTCAATGGCTAACGATACCGAAATCAGGAAAAGGCCTTCTATTGAGGTTGCTTTTAAAGATTTAACCCTCACTTTGACTACTAAACACAAACATCTGCTAAGATGTGTGACTGGGAAATTATCACCTGGCCGAGTTTCTGCAGTCATGGGTCCGTCTG